GATACATGTATTCCCTGTAGAATGATATATTTGTATGTAATCTCTGTACAGATATCTTCTATGTTGTTATGTCATACATTTGTGTATGTGGTGAATAAAATCAGTTTTAATCCCCTTGGAGATCCGAGGAGAAGTAAGCACTTCTCAAGGGGCAGGGAAAAGGTGGTCCTTTAGGGGAAAGGCAAATTGAGGATCACCTCGGTAGGGGAAAGGTAAGCCCCTTGGAGTTGTAGGGAAGGTGTGCATTTTGTGGGAGTGGGTGGGGGTGGGTCTTAAGATGAAGGGACGCTGTATACTTCCCATGGAGTGGGTAAACGTATGCCCAAGAGGAAGAACAAATATCAGACTGCCAGTGCAGGTAAATAACTTTCTTGTCTTGTAAACAAAATGTTCAGACAGAGAAGAATTTTATGAAAAAGAGAAACCCTATAATTTGTGGATCTCTGCATTATGGTTTGCCATATTTGCGATGGAGTGAGAAAAAATACCAATATAATTTTGCTTCTTCATTACAATACAAGGTACACTACGGTGGTAGAATTTAAGATTTGGACTTAGTTAATAATCAATGTTGAGAACGGATCTTGAATTAAAATATGATATATTTTTTTGTGTGATAATGAAGTGGTTATATTGTTAGACAGCTCTTCAGTTTCTGGAGGTGTTAAAGGATAAGGGGCCAGGGGACAGTATGCAGCATCTCATTATTTACAATGTGTGATTGACACGATTACATCACCCTATAGATTTATACCACCACCAAGACATCTCCTGTGTGCGCTGGATGACTGGCCTATTGTAATGGAAATTCTGATTGCACAATGCATTGTCTGTGGCCTGAGTAATTTGGGTGCTGAGGTTAGGACCGGTTTGGCAAGATGGAGCACACACATTGTCATTGCTCCTATTCGTCTGTTCAAACAAAATAAATAAAACCCCATTCCCTCCAGAAAACCAGAGCCTGGTAGTGTTAGATCATGATTAGGTGATCCATATCTTTCCAACATTTTGATAAGTTGTCGACTGATGTGCAGCCCTTTTATTCTGATCCCTAATCTGATAATTAGGTTAACTGGAGATTGTGTGCTAAAATGGGGAGGCCTGTGATGGGCTGAGGTGAAAAGTCGACATTTGAACTACAGATGGCCCCAGTGACATTACATGTAGCGGTGACAAGAGCAATTCAATTAGCATGACTTTTACAAAATATATGACTTAACCTTTCTTAAGTTGAAACAAACTTCACAGATGCAGAAGCAGTATTAAACCTGTGCTATTCTATCTTTACATTGTAGGTGAGAAAGGGTGCGTTAATCTGATGCATTCATATGTTTGATCTTGCACCAGATTGTACACAGATGTTTCAAATGGATCAAGATCTGTAATTTTCTAATTCTAAAATTTAACTTTGCAAATTTAATTAGTGATAAAAAATGTTGTCACAAAAGTGATAAATTTTAGAGCAAGTCTTCAAGTGAGTAAAATAGAGATATAGTTTACTGGATTATTCAAAAGTGAAAAATGAACACTAAGGATTAAAAATGGGGCCAATCTAATAAAGCTATATTAATGTAATACTGTCTGTGGTGAAACTTGTTTTAAAATACATAAAAACATGTATTTCATCAAGCTCCCCTTTCTTTTATGATTTATTAGAAAGTTAATTTGCTGTTAACTTTCTCCCTTACATACAGTAAGTGTTGATTTCTACAAATGTTCAATATTGAAGACATATATGAGACTGTTACAGGTAACTTGAGATAAAGTCTGGATGAGTTATCAGGTTTTCAGTACAATATTGATATACCTTGGATATACCAGTGGGTGCTTTTTACTGTCAGTATATTGGTACATACACCCCCACCGCTGGTATAAAATAGATCTTCATTTCCTGTGTTGACTCTAAGGTAATGAAATTTTATATAGCCTGGAAATAAAGAAAATAATATTTGATTAAATTAACTGTGCTTTGCCTCAGTGGGATAAGATAATTACATTGTTTAATTTTAGCCACTTTTTCTTCCTTTTTAATGGCTACTTCTACCAGTGGAGTAGAGAAACAAAGGGGATGTTGTGACCATGCTCTAATGATACTGTAACTGTCATGTAATGAGTTGGATTTGTATTGGTACATAAACCAATATCTTCAAGGACTTCCATTCCAATAGCTCCTGTCAGCGTGTTTCTTTATTTTACCTTGTTTAGTGCTCACACTTTGTGTAACATTCTAACACTTTGTGTAACATTCTAACACTTTGTGTAACATTCTAACACTTTGTATATCATTCTAACACTTTGTGTAACATTCTAACATGTAACATTCTGACACTTTGTGTAACATTCTAACACTTTGTATAACATTCTGACACTTTGTATAACATTCTAACACTTTGTGTAACATTCTAACACTTTGTATAACATTCTAACACTTTGTATTTGTATAACATTCTAACACTTTGTATAACATTCTAACACTTTGTGTAACATTCTAACACTATTTCTAACACTTTGTATAACATTCTAACACTTTGTGTAACATTCTAACACTTTGTGTAACATTCTAACACTTTGTATAACATTCTAACACTTTGTGTAACATTCTAACATGTAACATTCTGACACTTAGTGTAACATTCTAACATTCTAACACTTTGTATAACATTCTAACACTTTGTGTAACATTCTAACACTTTAAATAACATTCTAACACTTTGTGTAACATTCTAACATGTAACATTCTGACACTTTGTGTAACATTCTGACACTTTGTATAACATTCTAACACTTTGTGTAACATTCTAACACTTTGTATAACATTCTAACACTTTGTATTTGTATAACATTCTAACACTTTGTATAACATTCTAACATTCTAACACTTTGTATAACATTCTAACACTTTGTGTAACATTCTAACATTCTAACACTTTGTATAACATTCTAACACTTTGTATAACATTCTAACACTTTGTGTAACATTCTAACATGTAACATTCTGACACTTTGTGTAACATTCTGACACTTTGTGTAACATTCTAACACTTTGTATAGCATTCTGACACTTTGTATAACATTCTAACACTTTGTGTAACATTCTAACACTTTGTATAACATTCTAACACTTTGTATTTGTATAACATTCTAACACTTTGTATAACATTCTAACACTTTGTGTAACATTCTAACACTTTGTATAACATTCTAACACTTTGTATAACATTCTAACGCTTTGTGTAACATTCTAACATGTAACATTCTGACACTTAGTGTAACATTCTAACATTCTAACACTTTGTGTAACATTCTTACACTTTGTGTAACATTCTAACACTTTGTATAACATTCTAACACTTTGTGTAACATTCTAACACTTTGTGTAACATTCTAACACTTTGTATAACATTCTAACACTTTGTATTTGTATAACATTCTAACACTTTGTATAACATTCTAACACTTTGTGTAACATTCTAACACTTTGTGTAACATTCTAACACTTTGTGTAACATTCTAACATTCTAACACTTTGCATAACATTCTAACACTTTGTATAACATTCTAACATGTAACATTCTGACACTTTGTGTAACATTCTAACACTTTGTATAACATTCTAACACTTTGTGTAACATTCTAACACTTTGTGTAACATTCTGACACTTTGTATAACATTGTAACACTTTGTATAACATTGTAACACTTTGTATAACATTCTAACACTTTGGGTAACATTCTAACACTTTGTGTAACATTCTGACACTTTGTATAACATTCTGACACTTTGTATAACATTCTAACACTTTGTATAACATTCTAACATTCTAACACTTTGTGTAACATTCTGACACTTTGTATAACATTCTAACATTCTAACACTTTGTGTAACATTCTAACACTTTGTATAACATTCTGACACTTTGTATAACATTCTAACATTCTAACACTTTGTGTAAAATTCTGACACTTTGTGTAACATTCTAACCCTTTGTATAACATTCTAACACTTTGTGTAACATTTTAACACTTCATGTAACATTCTAACACTTTGTATAACATTCTAACACTTTGTGTAACATTCTAACACTTTGTGTAACATTCTGACACTTTGTGTAACATTCTAACATGTAACATTCTGACACTTAGTGTAACATTCTAACATTCTAACACTTTGTATATCATTCTAACACTTTGTGTAACATTCTAACACTTTGTATATCATTCTAACACTTTGTATATCATTCTAACACTTTGTGTAACATTCTAACATGTAACATTCTAACACTTTGTGTAACATTCTGACACTTTGTGTAACATTCTAACACTTTGTGTAACATTCTGACACTTTGTGTAACATTCTGACACTTTGTATAACATTCTGACACTTTGTGTAACATTTTAACACTTTGTGTAACATTCTAACACTTTGTATAACATTCTGACACTTTGTATAACATTATAACACTTTGTGTAACATTCTAACATGTAACATTCTGACACTTTGTGTAACATTCTGACACTTTGTATAACATTCTAACACTTTGTGTAACATTCTGACACTTTGTATAACATTCTAACATGTAACATTCTGACACTTTGTGTAACATTCTGACACTTTGTATAACATTCTAACACTTTTTGTAACATTCTGACACTTTGTATAACATTCTAACACTTTGTATAACATTCTGACACTTTGTGTAACATTCTAACACTCTGTGTAACATTCTAACACTTTGTGTAAAATACTCAAACTTTGTATAATAATAATAATTTACAACATTTATATAGTGCACTGTCTATTTTGAAAAAATATTCTAACGCGATATAATGTGTATAAGATACACTTTGCAAAAAATGCTCACACTTTTAGGAAAATACTTGTACTTTGTTTAACATACTCACATTTTGTGTAACATACACTTTGTGTAAATACTCACACTTCGTGTAATCTACTCAAACTTTAGATAACATATTATTTCTTCAACAATTTGTATTTCCAGAGAGATGAGTGTAAAGGAGGGAGGAACATCATCGGGAGGCACATCTCGTGCTGGAGCTTCGTCAGTGTCACGTGCTGGTATCACTCACTGGTTTACCTCAGAGATTCAACAGATGATGTAAGTGTCATTTTGTTTGTACAATATTTATATCATGTGACATGTGAAGCCTTTACCTGTGATAACCCATCAAAGCCTTACTTATTTATCCACTGAGTTCCCTATATCATGTGACATATGAAGCCTTTACCTGTGATAACCCATCAAAGCCTTACTTATTTATCCACTGAACTCCCTATATCATGTGACATGTGAAGCCTTTACCTGTGATAACCCATCAAAGCCTTACTTATCTATCCACTGAGCTCCCTATATCATGTGACATGTGAAGCCTTTTGTGGAGTATTCTGTTATACGTGACACTGATGCCTGTATAATATCATTCTATATGTTATGATTTTTTACGGTGGTTTATGTTACTAGATTAGATTATACTGCATTCAGATTGTTATTATCCCAGCATGCTACACTATAACTTTAATCAATATTTAATATGAAGACAACTGTGTCATATTAATTCCAATCAAATGATCAAATGTAATGCATGACTTGGCTTGACTTTTTCTGCCCATTGCTGTCTCATGCATGTAGAAAAAGCATATGAAAGCATTCAGAGTTGGACAAATTCTATTTATGATCTGGACAAATGATTTCTCACCTAATGCACCCTATCAATAGTGGCATGCTGTCCAATGTCAATAAAAAGCCAGTTTTAACGGGACATCATCACCTTGGGGTCAGAGTTCAGGGGTGTTTGTTTAAGTTACTGAAGCAGATGGTCGACTTGATGTTATTGAGGAAGGCTAATAAAACAGAATTGTCATTGACGTTCTCTCCTCCAGTGGCTGAAGAGCTCCGCCAAAGATTGATTGAGTACCAAAAAAGTTGATTTAAAAATGTGGAATAGCCTTTTGTAGCCTTTTGTGGGTAATTTAAACAGAACCATGAGATTTTAGAGAAAAAAGGTCCGAAGGAAGAATGGGCCTTTTGAATATAGAGAGCCTTAGTCTGACCTCATGAACATTGGAATAATTAATTTATTCATGACCTTTTCATAAAGTCATCAATTTATCCTGAACAAAGTAAGTGAAGCTGAAATGTAGCTATATTTGTAGAGTGTGTTTTAACCATGTGACAATAGTGTTCCCACCTGCCAGAGACATGTCTAAAATGTGACCAGATATCCTTAGCCTTCAAGTATCCTGTAAGTCTTACTCAAATCAGTCCCACATATATCCTGTTGGTCCTATCCATGTCAGACCTTTATATCCTGTTTGTCAGACAAAAGTATAATTTACAGTACATATTTATAGGTCTTATCAAATAATAGCATTACAAGTAAATGTTTATTCATGAAAATCTACACATATAGTTCTACACACATAAATCTACTCCTGAAGTCTATACATAAATGTTTTACAGAAAGTTCTACACACAAAAGTCTACACCTGAGGTCTACACATAAATGTTTTACAGAAAGTTCCACACACAAAAATCTACACCTGAGGTCTACACATAAATGTTTTACACACAAAAAATCTACACCTGAAGTCTATACATAAATGTTTTACAGAAAGTTCCACACACAAAAATCTACTCCTGAAGTCTACACATAAATGTTTTAAATAAAGTTCTACATGCAAAAATCTACACCTGAAGTCTTAACATACATGTTTTACACAAAGTTCTACACACAAAAATCTACACCTGAAGTCTACACATAAATGTTTTAAATAAAGTTCTACACACGAAAATCTACACCTGAAGTCTTCACATAAATGTTTTACATAAAGTTCTACACACGAAAATCATCACTGGAAGTCTACAGATGAAAGCCTGAACAAATGTTTTACACACAAAAGCCTACACATAGAGATCAACACATAAAGGACTTATATGTCCACACTTTAAAGCCTACACATAGAGATCAACACATAAAGGACTTATATGTCCACACTTTAAAGCCTACACATAGAGATCAACACATAAAGGACTTATATGTCCACACTTTAAATCCTACACATAGAGATCAACACATAAAGGACATATATGTCCACACTTTAAAGCCTCTACATAGAGATCAACACATAAAGGACTTATATGTCCACACTTTAAAGCCTACACATAGAGATCAACACATAAAGGACTTATATGTCCACACTTTAAAGCCTCTACATAGAGATCAACACATAAAGGACTTATATGTCCACACTTTAAAGCCTACACATAAATGTGTAGATGTAAAGATTCATCAATTAAGATATGTCATACAATACCCAGACTTGACATAGAAATTCTTTGAATCCAATCTCTCAAGTTTTAAAGCAATGATTTTGAAAACAGAAGATGAATGTTTTAATTGTAGAAATGGATAAAATCCTTAAGACGATGTTTGTCTTGTGATACAGACTTACACAATCGTTTGTAAACACAAGTAGTGATATTGGGCTATCAGATGTGTTGTCTGCTGGTTTTTAGTGTAGTGCGTTCTGGTATACTTAGTTTTGTACCTAAAGCATTGACGTGTTTTTTATTCAGATTTAACTGTAAACATGCATAGTGTCGGAAGTGTTTAGAGCTGTGTGTACTTCATCTCCTTTCCTTTTGTTTTTGTACAGTGATTGGTGCCATTGCCAAAAATGTTACTTATTTGCTGAGGAAAAAAGCTTTATTAGTAATCACTTGTACTAAGCATTTGGCTGTATATGTAGATACTGTACATGCTAACAGTTTCAATAAAGGTGAATCCAGTTCACCAAATTACAGTAGTGGCTGATGAGCAAGGGTGTGGCCTCCAAGGTGGACGACAGCCTAGCCAATTATCTGTAGAGTCTATATAAGAACATGTGAACACACTGTGACCTTCCAGGGTGAATAAACATGGACCTTTAGGAGTGAACAAATCCTGGGCTTAGGGGATGAAGAAACCCAAGGGGTAACTAACAAAGGCATTAAGGGGTAATTAATCCTAACCATTCTTGGCCATAAGGGGTAATTTTCCTTTAACATCAGAGGTGAAGGAACCCTGACCCTAAGGATAACCTAAACAGGCTCTATTGTGGAACTAATCTTGACCTTTAGGGGTGAAGGAACTTTTGTCTTATGATAAAACTAACTTTGACACTCAGGGCAGTGTTCACTACTAACTTTTTTAACCTAGTAGACAGCAGGTCTATCTAGATAAAATATCAGGTAGACCTGCATAATGTTTGTTGGACCTGCGAGCGCCGTAGGCACGAGCAACGGATCTTTGGGGGGTCCCCCCCCCCCGGGAAATTTTTTAATTCCTATATGCAATTTCCTGCATTCTAGGCATTTTTGAGGTTGTAATCTTCATTCTTGATTTGTTTTTTTTTTTTTTTTATTTTTCTTGTTTTTTTGACATGGACATTTGACATGAATGAAGCAAATGTGGGGTCAACATTTGGCTCCCTACTCAGATTTCTAGTATTTCCATAATTTTTTTTCGTCATGTTACATTATCCTGTAGATCACCACGAAGATAACAGCAAGTAAAGAAAATGCAAAAATTTCCTTGTTTTGATATTTAATTGCATTCATGGAATCAACAAGGAGCTTGTACTGCTTATTCGTGTGTCAGCAATTGTGGCAACAAATTTCTGAGCAGCTTTATCATTCCTGTAGGTTTTACCGATATCCAGGCCATTTGCTTCATTTAGGTTACATAGCCAAATAAAATCTGTGTAGAGTCTGCTTGATTTTGCCATGCTGTGGGCCGTTCTGAACAGCGTGCACATCTATCCAACACGAGATTTATCCAAAAGAGTACGAGATTTTGCAGCAACAGATTGTGATTTAGGTGTTGATTTAGCATTAAATTTGGCGACGTTAACTCTGTGTGACTTAGCAATATCATGGATTTTAATGGTATCAAGTTTGAAGTTACTATTGCCTGTACAGAACGTACCCGATTGTTCAAATTCACGACAGACCTTGCAGTACATTGTGTTTTTATCCGGGTCGTACAAAAGCCAAAGTCAAACGCACAAGTGATCCCGGCACAATGCGACTGGTACGTAGATTTGTTCCGGTTATACTTTTACCTCTCGTGCTCTCGGACATCGAAACAAACAAAACCAAAAATATTTAGAGTTTATTACAAGATGGAACTTCAGTTAAATACACTTATATTAATATTGATTGCTGAATTTTAAGGTGGACCACCTCTGTTGCACTGTCAGGTAGACCAACAACATTTTAGGTAGACTCGGTCAACGGACCACCGTTAGTGTCGAACACTGTCAGGGGCGAAGGAAACTTGGTCGTAGGTGATAACTAACCTTTACCCTCAGGGGTGGAGAAACCCTAACTGAAGTAGGTAACTAACCCTGGCCCTCAGGGACATGCAGTTTAATGATATTTTCTGCTTATAATAGCTGCTTCTCCTTTGGTTCTACTTGCCCTCAGTGGTCTGACCATAGGCTGCACTAATAGAGTACCTTGTGGCATTGCAATATACACACAAACAATTGCAACATGTTTTATGTGGAATTTTGAAGTTCTGGTGATCTGCCAGTCAATTGAAAGAGAAGATTAAAATTCCAACTGAGGAGTGTTGGGTCATGTATTTCTGTGACTAAATCTGTAAGCCATTTTTTAATTATCTGCTAGTACAGGTGTCCATGTCTATAGTTTCCTACAATAATTTCATGTTGTAGAGTCATGGACCCTTTAAGGAATAGTTATAGATCAGTGTGTAGTGTCATGGACCCTTTAAGGAATAGTTATAGATCAGTGTGTAGTGTCATGGACCCTTTAAGGAATAGTTATAGATCAGTGTGTAGTGTCATGGACCCTTTTAGGGGTAGTTATAGATCAGTGTGTAGTGTCATGGACCCTTTTAGGGGTAGTTATAGATCAGTGTGTAGAGTCATGGAGCCTTTAAGGAATAGTTATAGATCAGTGTGTAGAGTCATGGACCCTTTAAGGAATAGTTATAGATCAGTGTGTAGTGTCATGGACCCTTTAAGGAATAGTTATAGATCAGTGTGTAGTGTCATGGACCCTTTTAGGGGTAGTTATAGATCAGTGTGTAGTGT